CGCTTGGGGGGGAGAAGTCCGCTGAACCAGGTGGAACTTGACGGTCAAACTGCAAGCAGAAGAGAAAAGCCACGTCTGGGATTGGAGGAAGCATTGGAATAAAAGATTGATCCCGCCATCTTGGCCTGACTCTCCTGTCGTTTTCTTGCCAATTTGCTTTGGCCCAGGTTCTCGACCCCGACTCCAAGGGAGATCAACCTCTCCTCCAGCAAGTCGACATCGAGACAGTCGAGACAAGAACAAAACACGGCCTTTCAGGGTCGGGATGCTCGTCTGCTTTCAAGTGTTTGGTGGCACTTTAAACAACCCGCTGTGGACCATTGCTTCCCTCACTGGACATTAGTAATTACATCTGGGCCCTCTCCGGACGCCCTTGGTCTGACAGCCTTGACAGAACTCGGCCCCTGAATCCCCCGCGCCATCCGGCACAAGTCTCCAAGAAGGCGAGAGAGAGATGGAGTTTGTCAACTGGGACCACGCCGACCCGGCCGCCGGCGTCGAGTTGCTGGACCCGTCCCTTCTCCCGTCCGGCGAGACCCTGGACGACCTTGACCTGGCCTTTGCCAACGTCGACGGCGATGACTTCTCCTTCTGGGCTCTGCAGCACTTTGAGAACAATGTCTCGCCTACCATGCCTCCCGAGGAGATCCCCATGCCCACCGACCGGGCGACCAGGACCTTCGAGGACCACCTGGAGACACCAGATGCCCCTTGTATCAACTGTCAGCTCGGTGGCTACCAGTGCAAGCGCATTCCCGAGGGTCAGCACAAGGGTTGCTGCACCAGCTGCGTCGCCTTGCGTTGTGCGTGCAGCTTCAGTGCGGCCCCGAACTTCCCCTGCCAACCCGTGGCCGCTGATGGGAGATCACCCCGCAGCCATCGTCCAGGAGGACCTGCTCACAGAGAACCATATGTCGAACTCGACGCCCAGCCTCCCTGAGGCAGTTGGTGCCGCTGGCCTGGACAACCCAGACACCAACTCTGGCCCGAAGGGCAAGGCAGGTGCTCGTTTCTCCAGAGAATCGGTCAAGATCCTGAAGAACTGGCTGTCCACCCACAGCAAGCACCCGTATCCCAACGACGAGGAGAAGGAGATGCTCCAGAAGCAGACAGGCCTTAGCAAGATCCAGATTACAAACTGGCTGGCCAACACCCGTCGGCGAAACAAGAACGCCATCGGCCACCGCTCGACCTCCCCTGGAGTGCGGAGCTGGGCCAACCCCATCGACATCCCCCAACGTCGTTCAAGCCGCACATCCACCGAACACATGAACCCGCTGCAGCGTTGGCAGAACTCACCACCAGAAAACGAACCCGCGTCCGTAACCGCTATTGCCCGCGCCATAAATACCACCACCGGCCTCTCCTCGGGCCTCAACAGCCCTTACAGCGCCCACTTTACCGACGACGGGTCCGGCCGGTCCCTCTGCGCGTCCACCATCAGCAGCGCCAACACCTCGCGCTCCAGCAACTCCCTCTACTCCTTCGGCTCGCGCGGGTCCTGGGGCTCGCAAGGCTCCATGCAGCGCGGCCGGAGGCGGAGGAGGAGAAAGGCCCCCGTCCCGGGCGCCGCCGCCACCACCACCCAAACCAACCCGCCCAAGACCTTCCAGTGCACCTTCTGCACCGAGACCTTCCGGACCAAGCACGACTGGCAGCGCCACGAAAAGTCGCAGCACCTGTCCCTCGAGCGCTGGGTGTGCTCGCCCAACGGCGCCCAGACGTTCAACCCCGAGAACGGGCAGATGTCGTGTGTGTTCTGTGGCCTTGCGAATCCGGACGAGGCGCATATTGATACGCATAACTATTCGGCGTGTCAGGAGCGCAGTGTTGGAGAGCGGACCTTTTACCGGAAGGATCATCTGGTCCAGCACCTGAAGTTGGTGCATGGGACGAAGTTCACGAACTGGTCGATGGAGCAGTGGAAAGCAGCGGCACCTGAGATTCGCTCGCGCTGTGGCTTCTGCGGGGTTCTGATGGATACGTGGGCGGTTCGGGTTGATCATCTTGCTGAGCACTTTAAGAAGGGCAAGACCATGGAGGATTGGAAGAGCGATTGGGGCTTTGAGCCTCACGTCTTGGACATGGTCGAGAACTCGATCCCGCCTTGTACGGTCTCCCCTTGGTAATGAACAAGAATATGTGCTAATTTGCGTTTTAGATCTTATCCACGATGAACGAAATTCTCCAAACCCATTCGAAGCCACCCGACCGTCTGCCGCCTCGGCGCGGAATGCTTTCGAACTCATCAAGTCAGAGTTAACAGCGTACATCGATGACTGGCGCGCCAAGGAGGGCAAGATGCTTACGGACGCGGAGATCCAACGCGCTGCGTGCTCTCTAGTGTACGCCACGGAGGAGGTTTCCGAGGCCACCTCGGGCTTGGTCGCCTCCTGGTTGCGCGACCTGCTCTTCTCCTCAGACCGTCTGGCCCAGGAGGCGAGCTGGACCCAGTTTAAGGGCATCTACCGACACTCGCAGCTCCGGGTCAACGGCAAGGGCAACATCTTCGAGCTCGACCCTATGGAGACGGAACTGCAAGAGTTTGTCAAGGCACGCCGCCTGCTGGGCTTGACCGCCATGGACAGCGAGCTGCAGACTGAGGCGTGCAACATTATCCACCGCATGGAGGCGGCGTCGAATCATGCCTCGGACGAGGCGGTTCAGTTTCTCATCAGGCTGGTAAAGGGTTCAACCGAGTGGCTGGCTGGGTTCCGCAGGAGGGCGCACCTGCCGCGCTCTGAGGATATGGCTGATGAGGGGAAACGGTCTAAGGATCCTACCACCATTGACTCGACTGTCCACAACCCTGCCAGGCTAGAGTTTGAGCTGGCCGAGTATGTGCGCGAGCAGAGGGGGCGCGGAGCCGAGCCAACTGACGCTGACCTGCGCCGGCAGGCGTGTATCATTATCTACGAGTTTGACGACTGCTGTAAGCGACTCCTTCTGCTGCTTTTGCCCCTTTTGGTTGTCTCAGGAGCTATGTTGCTCCTGAGACAGCCTCTTCGCTTTCAAAGCACACTGATACGAAATTCACTGACTGACATTGCCAGCAGGGAACCAGACGGCCGCCGACGATCCGGCGTGGCTAGCGGCCTTCAAACAGCGGCATGGTTTGGCCAGCTCTCCGGCCGTTACCATGTCAACTGAACCCCAGCTATCGAGCGCCATGGGTGCGAGCATGTGGGCTCAAGTGCAGTCTTCCTCACTGAGCTGCGGCGCAACATCCCCCTTCGTTTCCGACAACAGCGCCATCTCGGGCACAACCCACCGCAAGACCAGCAGCTACCTCAATGACGCCAACTGCTACCACCGGCTGGCTCGGGAGCTGAAGAAGTGGGTTGCGTCGACCACGTCGCCCAACAACCCCAACTTCCACATCCCCACGGACGAGGAGCTGCAGCACCAAGCGCGGTGGATCGTTTTCGAAGAGTATGCCTCCCCCGTCTATCTCCTTAACCCACCCCATCCTAACTCCTTCCCCAAGCGACGACCCTGGAACCAAACAGCCGCCGACAACCTCGAATGGCTCCGCCGCTTCAAGCGCGACGCAGGCCTCCTCTCCGACGACCCTCCCTCCCGGGCCTCCTCAACAAACGCATGGCACATCTCCCAAGGCGGCGCGGGTTTCTCCCCGCCCTACCTCTGCCCCAATCCAGCCAAACCACCCTTCTCGCCCTTCCAAACAACAGCAACCACCACCACTACAACCAACCCCACAACACCTCCCTTCTCCCCCCGCTCCAAGAAACCGACAACACCTGCACCGCCATCACCACTAGCAGCAACAACACTCTCCAAGTAACCCTCACCCCCAACACAAAGCCCTTTCCCACGGCCGCCACAACCGCAAATAAGTTCCTCTCCTCCCTTAACGACACTCACCGCCACCCGCCCATGGCCGCCGTCTTTTGCTCGCGCGAGCTGGAGCATGACCTGAGCGAGTTTGTGACGGAAAGAGTGTTGGCGGACGGGCGGGAGGGGTTCCCGACAGATGGGGAGCTTAGGGAGAGGGCGAGATTATTTTGGGGGACTGTAGATGGGGTGGGATTGGGGGAGAACGCCGGCCGATGATCAGGTGTTGCTGGGACGATTTAGGGAGGTGATGGGGTTAGGTTGGGTTTGAGTGCGCCTACTGCGGCGGTGGGGCAAGGAGTGGGTGGGTTGGGGATGGGGAGTGCGATGGGATGTGCGATGGGGACGGTGATTGAGATGGAGTGTGCGGCACCTCAGCAGAAACAGCAACAACAACAGCTGCAGCAGGTGGGAATGGGAGATGGCGGGATCGGATTGTTGATGGGTGGGACCGGCCTGACGGATATGGATATGTCCGGGGTCACCGCCAATGCTGAGCTGGATGACATGTTGGCGGGGATGGATTTTGACTTTACAGATATGGGAGACATGGGGGACTTCATGGGGGTTGCAACTGGCGGAATGACGATGGATCAATTGTGAGGAAGCGGGACGAAAGAGGGTCGAGTTGACACATTTAGCCTATTACGGTTGCTTTTTTGGGTCTGGGGCATTGCATTTTGGATTTTTGAAGTCGGGCATAGTTGCAAAAGCCGGAGGGAGGCGAGGGTAATGTGGGATCATATGCGATGCTTGAATGTTTTGATACCTCAACTGTTGGCTATCTATCTGCTAGACTCAACGAGCAGGGCTAGGGTAATGAAATACAATCCACTCTGAATATCTAAGACGCAGATCAAGGTTCATCGGGAGCCGTCAACATCATATAACGGTGAGGCAGTCCTCTTGCCCTGAGCCCCTGAACCTCTAAATCGTGCAATTCTCTCGGTGACGAGTCAACGTAGAGCTGACACAGCAAATCAACCCCAACCAACCCTGCTAAAGCCTTATATTATAGAAACCCTTTGTCTTCTTCTCTTGAGCATTCACAACATCATGATATCTTTAAAGACCCAGAGATGACCCCAGAGTGAATCGGGTCCTGCGTCATACTTGAGGAGAACATATGTCACATGCTCCACATCGCCCGATTAGCTCAGCTGGTTAGAGCGTCGTACTAATATAGCACCTGCTATACTAAGTAATGCGAAGGTCAACAGTTCAATCCTGTTATTGGGCATCTGATTTTTGTCTTTTTTCCCGATTTCTTCGTTGTTGCTTCTCTCTTCTTCCCTTTGCCGCATTTCCTACTGTCTCCCTTTTATATCTCTTTTTAACTTTAACCTCTTGTTTCTCTCTTGCAATGCTCTCGGCCTAGTACTGTAACTTTCCAGAAAATGCTGCTCTTGTATTTCAATACCACAAGTATGTGCTCCCATGAGATGGGCGCACCATAAAGTAGCATCACACCACAAGATTCACATGCCACCAAGAAGTTTAACATTGGCACTGTCATCAGTCCCTGAATATTTCCCTTTCTCCCCTCGGATGTCCCTTACCATTCTCAGGACCGAGTTGCCTCGGGCCGTCCACCGAGGCATCTATTACAGCCAGTGCAAACCATGTTGGGCAGCAACCGCGGATGCCCTATCATATCAGATCTTGAAGACATAACCGTTTCCCATTTGCTATGCTTGGATCTGTAACCAGACAGACCTCATCGACAACACCAAAACTGACTTCATCTCTCATCAAACCTAAAGGCCTTCAACCAAACAGCAACACACACAGGTGACATCCCAACAAAGCCCTGAGGCTCCGACTCTCCAACAAGCCCACATGCAAGATGCACAACCAAAGTCAAAGGAAAACACCATAGAAAAAGCCATCCCAGCAATACTCCGCATGCAGTGCCCAAGCGCTCGATAAAGCCAAGCCCGACGCCCTCCGCAAATGAAAAGGTGATGATCGACCGAGTTGGTTAATCATGGGTATCATGATGCACCATATCCTGTCCCTCCCAAGCTTACCCCTTTACCCTTCCCATGCCCAAAAACTAGCCCAGCGTGCTTACCAGCGCAACCAGCCCTTACCCAAAACCCATCCTCAGCAGCACCCCTCCTCGCAACTCTCCTCTCCCTCCCATTCTCCCACCCCCCCTCATCCTCCACAACCTGCCCTCCCCACCACCTCCACCAACAACCGGCGAAAACCCCGGCGAGAACAACCAACTCCTCCGATCCCTCCCCACCCTAAAGCTCCCGCCACTCCCCCACCCCTGACCACATTCCCAACCCCATCAAAATACCCCCATCCCATCCCCTCCACCCCACTATTCCCCCATATTCCCCCTCCCACCACCACCCCCAACCCCCATCCACCAGCCATCCCCTCCAACCCCGGCGTCGACCCCTGTCGCCGCAAGCAGCGCAGCCTGCATCTTGCGATTCTGCTCCACCAGCTTGCGCGTCACTACCCGAAACACCTCGTCCACACCCTCGCCCGACTCCGCCGAAATCTCATGGCAGGCGTCCCAGCCGACTTCTTGGCCCCAGAAGCCCGAGGAGCGTTTCGAGCTGGGTGAGCGCGGCTCAAACCGCCTCCCCTGCCCCGCCGCCGGAGGGGTCGGGGTGGAGTGCTGCCTTGGAGGAGCCAGTGATGGGTTCCTCCTGTTTTGATGTGGGGTGGTGGTGGCGGGGAGTTGTATGTGGTGGTGTCGGATGGGTTGAGGAGGAAGCCGCCCGCGGTTGGGGGCGGCGTGGAGCCCATGCCCGGGTTGAGGTTCTCGGCGACGTAGGCGATGCAGCGCTCGAAGGGGACTTCGCGGCGGGAGGGGTCGCGGGCGACGATGTCGGCTTTGGTGCCGACGACGTGCAGGACGATGTCGGGCGGGAGGTTGCGGCGGAGCTCGGTCAGCCAGATGCCCATCTCGGCGAAGGACTTGGCGTCGGTGATGGAGTAGCAGAGGATGCAGGCGTTGGCGCCGCGATAGTAGAGGCGCGAGATAGAGCGGAAGCGTTCTTGGCCGGCTGGGGAGGAGGGGGAGGGTAATTAGTTTGTGGTTGGGTGAGTAGGGGAAGGGAGGAGGCAGGGAGCTTACCGGTGTCCCAGATTTGGAGGCGCACCAGAGTGTCAGTGTCGGTGTCAACCACGCGCTTGGTCAGGAAGCTCGCGCCAACGGTGGAGGTGACCTGGGCCGGTTCGAAGGCGCCTTTGCAGTAGCGCATGACGAGCGAGGTCTTGCCGACGCCCTGAGAGCCGAGGACGACGATCTTGGCCTCGAGCGACGACGACATGGTGGGCGGCTATGGTGGTAACTTCGTCTTGTTGTGGTCGGTTCGCGAGTCGCACACGTGGGCGGGCAAGTTCATCCGCAAGGTTTTCTGTGGCTGACCTGCGCGGAAATGCGCAGCAAGCGCGGGTCCTGGTAGCGATGGAGGCACGCAATTCTCCGAGGTATCGTACGTGGTCAGTCGATCAGTGGTTAGGTCGTCGGTTCGTCGCGTGGGGTCGGCAAGCTGCTCCTCGGTTTCACGTCAAGGCTGGCACGCGGGGAACTGTGCGTGTTCACAATTGAAAGTCAGGGTCTCAGGAGCCCGAACCACAGAATGTGAGCTTTTGGTTGTGAGGAGAGAATGTCAAGTACTAAAAGCAGACAGTATCATTTCTTCAGGGAAAGGAGTAAAATGTAACAAATGACAAAACCACATCGGATTATCCGGAATTTGCCTGCTATGTTTTTATCAAGCTCAAGTTTACCAACAGCTCTCTCTATCCTAGAAATCCAGTACTGTCCATCCCACCCTCTAGATACATTCCTCTAAATCAACACACTCCCTAGTTTACAACTTCGCCTTCTCGGGCTTCTCCCCCGTCACCGCAAGCCGCTGCGACGGGTTGACCAGGGGATCATAAACGGCATACGACAGGTTATCCACGGGCGGCGCGCCGTGGCTGAACAGACTCCTGGCGTCCAGCAAGCTGGGGCTCAGCTCAGAAATATTCCGCGCACCCACCAACCGCATGCCCATCTCCATCTCGTCCTTGAGCAACTGCATGGCGCGGTCGACACCGTCCTGGCCGTACGCCGACATGGCATACAGGAACGGACGGCCGATACCCACGCCACGGGCGCCCAAGCACAGCGCCTTAATAATATCAGTGGCGCGACGGATCCCGCCGTCGACGTACACCTCAATCTTATCCTCGAGCCCCAGCTCGCGCAGTACGGGCATCGTCTCGGCGAGCACCTCGACCGCCGAGCGCGAGAACTCGAGCTGGCGGCCGCCGTGGTTGGACAGCACGACGCCCTGTACACCGGCCTCAACGGCCTTGATGACATCCTCGACGCGCTGCACGCCCTTGAGCACAATGGGCATTTTGGTGATGCTCTGGAACCACGGGATGTCGGCCCAGCTGAGCGACGGGTCGATGAAGCTGCTGATGGCGCGGGCCGCACCCTGCGAGGTATCGGTCGCCTGCCCGCTCTGCACGTCGCTGCCCTGATCGGTGAACTTCATGCGCATGTCCTTCTCGCGGCGGCCGAGCTGGGGGGCGTCGACCGTGATGAACAGCCCCTTGCAGCCGCGCTTCTCGGCGTGCTGCACGATGCGCTGCGTGATGGCCCGGTCCTTGTTGACATACAGCTGCAGCCACTGCACCTGGGCGGGGCCGGCCGCGTCGACGATGTCGTCGAAGGCGCAGGACGCGAGCGTCGGGATCATCTGGATCACGTCGTGCTTGCCCGACGAGCGGGTGAGCACCACCTCGCCCTCGACGTGGCCCAGCTTGCCGAGCGCTGTCGCCGTCACGTAGAAGGGGACCGAGGTCGGTGTGCCGAGCATGGAGGTGGAGAAGTCGACCTTCTCGACGTCGACGAGCACGCGCGGGCGGAACCAGATGCGGTGGAAGGCCGAGTGGTTTTCGCGCAGCGTCTGGGGTTGTTAGTTGGTGGGTACAATATGTCGGCAGCGCTCGAGTAGTACCCCATGCCGTCTTCTTCATGACCCGGCGGGCGACGGCCTCGAAGTCCAGCAGGTTGTAGCACTGGTCGAGCGAGGGCATCTCCTGGATGCGCTTCATCCGCTCGTTCTCCTCAGGCGACTCCTCGGCCTTCTCATGGACCACCGTCGTCATGTCGACGGCGCCGAGGTGTTTGCTCTTGTCCAGGTACTTCTCGAGAGTGTCTGGGGGTGGATGGGGTCAAACTCTTCGGTCGCATCTTTGCCCTGGCGGGTGTCAATTGGGACGCAATGCAAAAACGGGACAGGAGGTAAGTCTCACGGCATATTTGAGGATAATCTTGGTGCCTCCGGGGTGTTCTGGAAGGAATTCTGTGATGTCGTATGCTCTCCCCTGGGAGTTGTCAGCAAGCATTGGGGTCGCAGAACAGTTGTAGTACACACATGGATGATAACCCAGCAGTCGTCGGCTGTGTTGTGCTTCGCAACCTCGGCGCCCGTTAATAACGACATGATGGCTGGAGTTTAGGGATTCTCTGGGTGGTATGTGGAATGTTGAGTCTGGTGGTGGTGTGGACGATGGCGTCACTGCTCGCGTCTGTCTTGCAACGGCACTCAATGGGAGCAATCACAGCGTGTGGCAAGGAGGAGAGAGCTAAGAAAGAGAAAAGTAAACTATGGAAGCCAAGATGGACGAAGAAAACTAGGCAGACGAGTCAGGGGAGATGGATTGGAAATACTCGCACCCAACCCAACACATGCACCTCGGGAACCAGGGGATCGTCGAACCACAACCCGCAGTCGGAGGCCATTCACTGGCATCCTCGTGTGCCGAGCCATTCCAGGTTGCGGGCCACTGTGGGCCAAGACTGCGGGGGGCGTGGGACTGAAACGACCCGGATCCATCGACGTCAGCCGATCGCCCGAGAAACGTCTGCCGACGGCGGCGTGGCGTGTAATTTACAGCCAGAATACCACACATTACACCCCTCCCCCATTTGTCGTGACAAGGGCGTTCGTCCAGTCTCGGCTGCTTTTCCACCGAGTCGGCTCAATAACAAGGCGATAAGGGAACGATAGGAAATCCATTTCCAGAAATTCCGCTGAAAGCTGTGAACAACACCGAAAGATTCCACCATCCAGCCGATCTCACTCATCCCCATCCCCAGTTCCCATTACTCCCCACTCCCCTTGTTGCTTCAACCTCCATTCAACCCCACACTACCCCATCCCTCCTGACCTCACCTTACTGCTTGCTGGCCTTGGTCTGGTTCGCAGC